TTTTTTGCTCTATTGGCCCAGGCTGGGAGTGCAGTGGCCCCGTCTCGGGCTCAACTGCAAGCTCTGCCCTCCCGAGTCAACGCCATCTCGCGCCTCTTCAGCCTCCGGAGTAGCTGGGACTACAGGCCTTCCTGCCACCACGCCCGGATAATTTGTTTTTGCACGTTTTAGTAGAGACACAGTGTTCAACGTGTGTAGCTCAGGGATGGTCTTCGATCTCCTGACTCGTATGCGCCCACCTTCAGCCCCCAAGTGCTGGGGATTATGAGGCGTCGAGCACCGCGCCTGGCTGACAGTTGTGGAATGGTTAAATCAAGACAATTTAACTATGCATCACCCTCACATACCTCATCGCTCTTTTTGGTATCGACGCAACTTTTAAATTGTATTGCTTAGCAATTTGCCACAACTAGTCTAATACGGAATATAGGGCCAGGCACCGGCGACTCATGCTTTCTCTAATCCCGTCGCCGGTTGTGGGTAATTACAAGTGGAGGAGAACCGACCGCAGATAGCGCGCATGTGGGCTCGGAGGGAGGTCAAGTGTGTTTGTGACCAGGGTAGAGGTCACATATGTGGTGAAACCCCCGTCTTCACTTAAAATACAAAAATTAGCCGGGTGTGGTGGCAGGTGCCTGTAATCTCAGCTATGGAAGGTAGGCGTAGGAGAATCACTGAACCTGGGATTGTAGAGGTTTGCAGTGACTGAGACGTGCGCTGCCCTCTAACTGTTGGGGACAGTGCAAGACTCCATCTCAAAAGAAAATTACAAAAAGAAAGAAATATGTACACTATTATATTTATAATATATTTATATAAAAGGGTACTATCTCCTCTGTTTTTAGGAAATGTTAGCTTGATGGTGGCTCGGACTGTTAATCCCTCATCACACCATTTATGGGCATAGATAAAGAAATATGTACACATATATTTATAATATATTTATATAAAAGGCTACTATCTCCTCTGTTTTAGGAAAATGTTAGCCTTCTATATACAATTATCCATATTTGCATGTGTGTATGGGTGTTTATATGTGTATACACAAAATCATACATACAAATGTACAAACATAAATGCATCAAATGCATCTGTATGTGTATGATAATTTTGTATTTGCATAAAATATTCCTGGAAGGTACCTAACAAACTCATAGCATCCGTTACATTTGAAAACAAACGTATGCGAGGCTTAACACCTAGGTGATGGGTTGATAGGTGCGGCAAACCACCATGGCACATGTTTACGTACGTAACAAACTCACACGTCCTGCACATATATCCCGGAACTTAAGATAAAGTAAAATTTATTTATTTATTTAGAGACAGAGTCTCACTCTGTTGCCCAGGCTGGAGTGCAATGGCCCGATCTCGGCTCACTGCAACCTCCGCCTCACGGGTTCAACTGATTCTTCTACCTCAGCCTCCCAAGTAGCTGGGATAACAGGCACCGGCCACCACGACTGGCTAATTTTTTATATTTTTAGTAGAGACAGGGTTTTGTCATGTTGGCTAGGCTGGCCCTCCTCGGCCTCCCAAAATGCTGGGATTACAGGCGTGAGCCACTGCACCCAGCCTAAAATAAAATAAAATATTTTTAAAAAGGAGAAAGAAACCAAGTGACTGGGAAGCCGAGGCAAGGAGACTTTTCAGTTTATCCTCTTCTATCTTTTGAATTTTGAGCCAAGTGAAGGTCTTGTCTATTCAAAACAGAAATCATTTCTAACAGAGAAAATAGTGGAGGTACTAGACATCACTATAAATGAGGCTTTCTGGCCGTGGCGCCCAGGCTGGAGTGCAGTGATGTGATCTCGTCTCGCTGTAACCTCCGCCTCCGGGGTTCAAGCAATTCTCCTGTCTCAGCCTCCCTAGTAGCTGGGATGACAGGCTCCCGCCACTACACCCGGCTAATTTTTGTATTTTCTAAGTAGAGACAGAGTTTCACCACGTTGGTCAGGCTGGTCTCAAACTTCTGACTTCTGGTGATCCACCCGCCTGGGCCTCCCAAAGTGCTGGGATTATAGGTGTGAGCCACCAAGCCAGGCCTAAATGAGTCTTTCAAAGAGAACTTTAAGAAGCATTGTAGTAAGCGTTTGCCTATGGATATCAATTTAAAATGCAGAAAGCACTCTCCTAAGGTAATGTCGGTGGCCAACTGGGGTTTAAGATAAAACCTCCAGTGCACATTAGCAAAGAATTCGCTAAAGATGATTTTGTATACTCTTGCAGTATCGGGGGTGATAAGCCTTTCAAAAGGCCTGCTGGCATGTTTGATGATTGATGAAGGCACTGATGGAGGAAGATGTGTGTGTTGGCTTTAAGTAGTTTTCAGAAATCAGGTTTCACACAATGTAAGCAGGAAGGAAAAACAACAATTACTGTGCAATCAAACATATCCGATATTATATTTCATCCATGGCAAAAAAATAATGTTGTAGTGAGGCTATTTTTAGATACAAACATGGGGCCCAGATACGCGTGTTGGGTGGGTTCTCACCTACATTCTCCAGCACCTTTGTGGAGGGCCAGTAGGCGGGGTGGTATCACTTGCAGCATCAGCGACAGTCTTGAGACCCTAGCTCTGGACAATATCCATGGTTGAAATCCCATCTCTGCTAAATAACAGCAATATTATCTCGGGCATGGTGTGCGATTGTGTCCTTGTAATCCCAGTACTTGGTTTTTGGATGGCTGGAGATGAAGGAATCACTTGATATCCAGGTTTATGGTGGGATGGCTTGCAGTTGGATCCTGAGATCAATATCACTTGCACTCTCAGCCTGTGGTGACAGAAGCGATACTTGTTCTCAAAAACAAAACAAGGCTTGTGCTGCTCCGGTGGCTCACGCGCTTTGTAATCCCCAGCACTTTGGGTGAACCGGCCCGAAGCGACCCAGCGCGGTATAATGATGCGTCAGGAGATCTGAGTGGACCTCCTGTCGCTAACATAGGTTGAAAACCCCGTCTCTTACTTTAAAAAACTCAAATATAACCTAAAGCTCATGGGGCGACCCGGCTGTTT